GGCAGCTGATGCAAACGCAGTGCTTGCCGCTGGGGCTGTGGCCAGCAGCCTCCTGGCCTCAGCCATGCCAGTGCAGTTTCCCCGTGGTCTCACTGCCCCGGCGAGCAGTGCTGGTCCAGGATCCTCTGCATCTGGGTGCCTGCCCATGGGACGTGCTTACAGGGGAGCATTCCCAGCTTATTTCTGGCTGCATGGTGATCCTTCAAGAGCTGATAAGCCACCTGAGTTGGGCTGGCTGTTATGATGGAGGGTCTCCTGCTTGTGTAGCCGATGAGCTGGTGGGGGTGCTGTGGAAAGACACCCCACTTGGGGTGCCCCACTGCATCCTGAGGCAGAGCTTGGTCAGCCATCCTTGGGGAGCGTTGTGCCAACACAACCTGTACCTGAGGCATCATGCTGCTGTCTGCAGCTATGGAAAATAAATAGCTGGGGGGAGCTTCAGCCCTAGAAATCTGCCCGATCCCTCCCTGGTGTCCGGCCCCTCGCCCCCTCTGTTAGCAGGGAGCAAGTTACTCCATGCAACAAAGCAGGAGTGGCAAGGCAGAGGGTCAGCCTGAGTTGCTGTTGGACAGCAAAGCCACAGCCGGTAGTGCCAGGCACCTGGCACACGTACAGTGGCAGGAGGGACCTTGGGCATCACCCTTGCCCAGGCGGTGCAGGGCCAAGGTGCCAGCCATCACCCCCCAGAGGTGTATTACGTCGCAGTTGCACCCCGCTCCCAAACTGTTCCTGACGTTTCTAAGCAGAGGAAACCACTGCTGCCTTGCAGCTTCCTCTCAGCCGCTTTCAACATAGCGGGTGGCTGTCACCATCGCTCATGAGAGCCTGCCACTGCCGCTCTGGGAGAGGACCCAAGCAGAGCCGTTTCCCATGGGGCTGGCACAGTGCCTGGCAGCTGCCTTCCTCCTCCTCCTCCTCCCAGGTGAGTGCCCTGCCCAGTGGCAGGGGCTTTTCTGGGGCAGGCAAGGGGGAAGGTAAAGCACCTGGGGCTGGGGGGCAGCACCCCCATGGATCAGAGGTGTGGGCCATCTCCCTGGCCACTTTGCCTTCCTAAAGTGGGTGGACAGGACCTTTCTGGGTGGGTGGCTCAGCGGGGCACTTTGCTGGAGCTGCGGGGTGAGGACGGCCCTGCTGTGGCCAGCGCTGCTCCAGCTCACTGGCTATGGGAAGAGGTGTGGCAGCATGTTCTCATTTTGGCACTGTGCTTTCACTCCAAAGTGATGGCCCAGACCCTGGCATGGTTTTGGTGAGGGGACGTGCATGTCCCTGTTGCATGGCTGCTGGGGGTGCGGAGGGGGTTACCTCACCCTCCCCTTCCCTTAGGAGGGGGTTTCTGAGGGTTTCTTAGGCTGTGCCACCAGCAGCTCTCTTCCCTGGCCTGGTCTCCATGGTTGGTTTTTGACTTGGTACCCATGTCCTCTGGGCATATTGCTTGGAGTGCATGCTGGGCACCAGAATAGAGCAAGGCACCACTGGGAGCTCTGTGGGAGCCATCACCTCCCCAAACCCTCTGCAGGCAGAAATAGAGGGAGCCCTTGATGCCTCTCAGTACCTCCTGCCTTTGGAGGAGCTCTTGCTGGCCCCCTCTCCCACACCCTCCCTGGTTTCTGTCCATGGAGTACCTCTGCATCACCCAGCCTGCCCGTTCCCTCTGCTTGTCCTGTTCCCTTGGCTTCTGCGTTGCATTTTCTTCTCTGGCAGAAGTCATTTCTGGCACTTGCTCTCCTCCCCCCACATGTGCTTGGTCCTCTTAATTTTAGCACACCACAAGCTTCCTCCGGTGATCTCAGCCTGGTTGCTGCTTCCTCTGAACAGCTGGCTGAGAGGTGCTCTCCAGCCACGAACAAGCTTGACAGCCCTCTGGCCATGATGCTCTGGTCTCTGTCGTGTGACCCCCAGCATGCTAGGAGACCAGAAAGTTTGGAGGCCTGTTGTTACAGGACTTGTTCTTACAATTGCAAGGGGTGTGAAGTCTCTTGGACTTCGTGCCTCAAAGAATGAGACTGCACAGCAATTCTTTTCAGTATTACATTGCGGTCCTGTGCGTATCCAGACCCACTGCTGTTTCGGGTGTGCAGCCCTTGGGGAGCATATACCCCTGCAAACACTGCAAGTGCCAACTCTTTGCTGGCAGGTTTGAGCACTGGCCAACGGGTGGTGACGGTGCAGAAGGGGCCCCTCTACCGTGTGAGAGGGTCCCACATCACGCTGTGGTGCAAGGTGAGCGGCTACCAGGGCCCGGCGGAGCAGAACTTCCAGTGGTCCATCTACCTGCCCTCGGCCCCCGAGCGGGAGGTGCAGATCGTCAGCACCATCGACCCCTCCTTCCCCTACGCCATCTACACCCAGCGTGTGCACAGCCAGGGGATCTACGTGGAGCGGGTGCAGGGGGATGCCGTCCTGCTGCACATCACCGAGCTGCAGCACCGGGACGCCGGCGAGTACGAGTGCCACACGCCCAACACTGACGAGAGGTACTTTGGGAGTTACAGCGCCAAGGTGAACCTCTCAGGTGGGTCCTGAAAGAGACCCTTGCTCCCTGCCGGGCAGGGGTGCAGGCAGGCTTCTGCTGTCCCCACCTTTGCACAGGGGAGAAGTGCTTGTCTCTGGGGCTCTGATAGAGGAGCAGTGGGGGAAAGCGGTGATTAATGGGACTGGTGAGAACAAATTTTCCTTCTCTCCCTACTGTGGGATTGCTATCCTACCCCTGGGTGGCCAAGGTTGGGATGCCCAGATGTCCCCTTGCAGGTGGCTCTGGCTGTTGTCTCCTAGCCAGGGCAAGGGAAGGGAGAGGAAGCCTCTGCTGTCTGATGGCCCAACTTTAACTTCAGCTCCTGATGCAGCCACAGCATTTCACAGATAAACGCTTAGGAGGTCAAGATTTTTCAGGCTCTGTGTGTTAGCTGTTTGTGTCTTCTCAGGTCAGGGTGTGGGACTTGACGCAAGCTGGATACCCACAGATGGAGGGAGGTAGCAGCTGCTGCAGAGCCCTGGGAGAGGGAAGGCAAAGGGAAAGGCCCTACTGTGAGCCCACTGCCATGTAGAGTTCTACATGGCAGTATGGTACTTCCGCTTGGTATTCATCCCTGTTTCCTCCTTTATCCTGGTTTTACCAGCCTACACTTGGGATCATGAGGGGCTGGATGTTAATCTCCCTGGGGCTGCCTAATTAATACTGCCCATAGTTTGACTGAAGAGGGTACTGCAGAGAGATTCACTGTGCTTTCTTCCCTGCTGAAGTTTTAACCACTTTGCACCTTGGCATAGGCTGATGGAAGCCTTGTCAATCAGCTACAAAAGATGTTTCTCCTATGCTGTCAGATCTCTTAGGGCCTGGCCATGGTTTTGTAGTGGCCGGCAGGTTGCCCATCAAGGCCAAGAGATGACTTTTCCTGTGACCTGCTGCTGTCTGTGTTTCTTCCCCATGCTCAGTGATCGCAGACACCCTCTCAGCTTCCATGGCGCCCCAGGTCCTCACCCATGCCGAAGGGGACGCGGTGGAGCTCATCTGCGAGGTGTCCAAGTCCACCGCCCAGCACACGCATCTCTCTGTTGGCTGGTACCATCTCCAGGGAGCAGGAGAGAGCCACGCTGAGGAGGTCCTCACCCTCTCTAAGGACTTTGTTTTGACGCCAGGGCCCTCTTACGCGCAGAGGTTTCTGGCAGGGGACGTGCGGCTGAACAAAGTAGGGAACACCACCTACAAGCTCTCCATCGGGGGAGTGGAGCCGTCCGACCAGGGGCAGCTGTACTGTGAGGCGGCCGAGTGGATTGAGGATCCCGATGAGACGTGGAAGGACATCTCCCGCAAGCAAACGGGGAGGACATCGCTGGCAGTCGTGAGCCAGGGTAAGGCTCTTGCGAACTCGCGTGTTGGCTCCAACTCCTTTGCGCGCTGAAAGCCCTGTAACAGCAGCCTTCAGTGGCTTTTGCCTGCCTCTGCTGCAGCATAGGGACCCACCGGTGGGTCTGGCTGCCTCTGCCAGGCACAGAGGGGGCGGGCGGGCTGGGCTTAGGGCTGTGGCAGCCTCTGGTTTGGGAGCTGTTGGTGCTTCTTGCTTTGGAGGTTCACACAGCTGAGTGTCTGACACTGGCAGCGATCGTGCAACCTCACAGGCCCATGCGAGATGTTAACAGAGAGTAGCGTGTGCCTGCAGCAGCCTGGCTCCTTGGCAACATTAAGCCCCATGTGCGGAAAACTGTGTTATGAGACTGGCTCGAGGGTCTCATGGCCTCAAGAACTGAAGTATGTAATAGTCAGCTGCCCATCGCAGTGCCTCAGCCATGGGCATCAGGGGATGTGGAGATGCTCTGCATGTGCTGCATGGCTCTGGTGTCTGCTGGAGGTAGCTTGTCTGTCCGTGCTGTCACAAGTCTCCTGGTCTCCAGAGCAACTGGTGTTGCTGCTTATTGGACCATCCCTGTGTCTCCTCCTACTAGTTCATATATGGTGGTAATGGGACTGTGGGTCAGACTGTGCTTTGAAGTAGGTGCACTAAGCTCCTGGCTTATGCTCTAGGAAAACGTAGTATTAGGTATTTAGAAAGAGGAGATTTAGACCTGCTACCACATATGAGATGGATTAAAATAGGAAAGTATGAAAACGAGCCCCTTGCCGGTGCTGCTCAGCTGCCCCTGCTCCACTCTGTCCCTGCCAGGCACCTCCTGTTCCCTCTACCTAGCAGCTTCCCATGGCTCCTGGCATCTGCAAGCTCTGCATGGCCTCACCCAGGGCCGGTGGGAAAATCCCTCTCTCCCCGCTTCCCTGGGATGATTACAGCATTGTGTGTTTGCTGCTACTCCTCTGAGTGTCCTGCCCGCCGTCGCTCCTGCCACAAGCCCTTTGCTGGCTGCGGTCCCTCACCCTGCTTTTCCTCCAGTTGTGTGTGGGTAACTGTGCCCAGAGGGAAAATCTCTCTTTCCCACCAGTAAGTTTCACCTCAAAGCAGCCAAGGCAAGGCTGTGTCTAGTTGACGCCCTTTAACGTAGGCAGTAGTATGCTATAAAATAGGAGCAAGTCTCTCACAGAAAAGATGCCTGGGGAGGTGGTGTACCATGTCCCTATAACTCGGGGAGGATGGAGGAGGCTGTAGAGCCAGGGTGGTGAGGGGAACTGGTGTCTCACAGAAGGGTGGTGAGTCAGAGCAGGAAACCAAAGAAATGGATGGGTAAGGACCAAACATCCCATGTGCAGCTCAGGGGGACAAGGTATTGGGGGAGGGGAGGGAAATGCAGTCTGCCACTGTCAGAGCCTGGTTCCAGAAACCTGGCTGACTGGCAAAGCTTTATTCCCCTTATTACGCACTGTTTGCAGCAATGGCTTTCCATGTCTGCTGCTGCCTGGCAAGCAATGACAGTCAGTGCACTTTCCTGCACCCGCTTGTTTAAGAGGGTTTGTTATGACTGGTAGTGTGTGGCTTCAGGTACCGGTGCCACACTATTTCTTAGAAACAGAGAAACATTGTCAGAGTTTAATATTTGCACTATGGTAGCCATTAAGGGTAGAAGGGAGGCAATGGTGGTAAGAGGACAACACGGTGGTTGTATTAGAGTCGCTGTTATTGTCAGAGGGAAACGGTGGCAGGCGTACGAGCCCTTCATCACATCTGCGGGGCTGGGGGCTGCCTCCAGCGCCCCGTGGGAAGCCTGGGCTGTGGGGCTGAGCACCCTGTTGCACCGGGAGCCAGCGACCACTCTGACTGTGGCCAACTGCTCCAGCAGTTTCCATAAACTTTCCAGCAAATATTTGGGAATGCCAAACATATCTGCAGTGGCTGGGATTCCTGTTGGCAAACTGTTTATGAAACATTGTTTAAATTCACAGGGTGCTCTGCTTTCAATAAATTATTTGAGCCCTTCCAGTGGCAGTCTGGGAGCTGTTCTGTTTTACCTCCAAACTGCAGCACATAGCCTTGCCCTTGTTGTTAGACATGGGGGGCACCACAGTGACCCAGGGAGATGAAGCAGCATAAGCTGGGCTGCCTGCCCAGGGAGTCGGGGCTCAGCCTTACCTTCTGCTTTTTAGTCATGCCACTGTTGTGTGGGGTCACAGTGCAGAGTTTTGGGGCACCCCGTGGGTCTCTGCCTGCAGCCGCTCTCCACATGGGCTGAAGCTGGGAACGGGGGGCATTAGCAGCAGAGGCTTTGAATGCCCAATGAGGAAGGTGAATCGTATCATAGGACCCAGAGACAGGGTCCTTATCTCGGGTGTGGCTGACTGCCCAAGAAGGTATGTCAAGATGACTGTGCTCCCCTTCTTTGCTTGACTGCTGGCCAGTAGCTGGGGGCAGAACAGGGGCTAGGAAATGACCTCCACCTCTTCTTGCTTTGCTCTGACCTCACTATGTTTTGACAAGTCTTGACATTTCTGCTTTCTATAGGAACTAACCCAAAGCCTCTCCAATTTTGAGAGCGTTTCTTGCCCACAACCCACAGCAACCAGTGAGGGCTGCAGCATCCGACACCAGCAGCGTCAGATTCAGACAAGCAACTTGAATGTCAGCACTCCGTGCACCTTCTCCCACCACAGACAGCAGAGTTAAAACCACCACTGAGTGATAAAGCCCCTTTGTGCCCTTTTCTGGTTTAAAGTATATTTGTTACATGAAGTAGGACAGCTCCAGGAGGTGAGATGGAGCAGCCCCTCACAAAAGCCCCCCACAAAAGCTGCGTTAGGGCAGCCCTTGGTTCGGATACCTGAGCTGAGCTGGGGGTGGCTGTGACCTGAGGCCATCCCGATGGGTGCTCTGCTCGGGGTGGGGGTTAGCTGCCCCAAAGTGGGGAGCTCAGCTTCTCAAGGCTCTGGTGCTTCTTCCACCTGCGGCTGCTGGTTAGTGCCTAGAGCTGGCAACCGTCTCTCCATGGGCAAAATTTTCCATCCTGATCACTTTTCTAGTGAAAGAAAATGTTTAAATAGAGAATTCCCTCCTGTTTCCCTCTGCATGGCCATTGGCGCTGCCAGGAGGGAGGGAAGTGTGGGCAGGGCCACCCAGCACCCTCTTTGCTTTTGACTGCCCACAGACAGAGACCTCTCCGTGGACATCACTGCTGCTGAAACCTCCCTTTCTGAAGGTGATACCCTGCAGCTAAATTGCATGGTGGGAGCTCAGAAGAGCAGCAGCAGGCACTTCCAAGTGCTTTGGCTTCTCAACAGCGTGGAAGTGGCCAGGGTTGATCCCTGTGGGGTATTGATTTGGAAAGAAGAATATGAGAAGAGAGCCAAGCTGGGGCAGCTCCGAGCATTCAAGCAAAGCAACATGGTTTATGTCCTCACCATCTATGAGGTGGGGCTGAAGGACAACGGTATGTACCACTGCTCTGTTTCGGAGGTGAAGACTGCTGGAGACTTTCACAGCATCCAAACCAATCTGTCATCAGGCATCCAAGTCAACGTGAAGCCGATAGGTTAGTAAATCCTAATGGCTGCTGTTCTGGGTAAAACCTGCAGTGAGTGCTGACTGGGGAACGCTTTAAGCCTGGCCTCATCTTGGCAGGGGTAACACACCTGCTGTTTGCAGTAAGAGTACAAATATTGCATAGCTTTTGGTAGATAATAATGGAAAAAGCACTTGCTCTAGCTTGGCATGACAGATGCAGCAGCTGTCAACAAAGTGTAAACTTTGCAGTGCTCAGTCTCTTTGCAATAAGTTTTGGGGCAAATAGGTAGAGTTCTGGGGAGGTTGGGTCCTCCTGTGTCTTTGGTACAGAAGACTGTGAGTAACGCCTGTTGCTACTCCTGAGGATCACAGGATGACCCAGCAGAACGGGTACTTCTGGATGGGGGGATCATTACCATTTCCATCAGGGTGCTCTCTCTGTTTTGGAGGGATGACCTGTGAGAAACCACTCTCAGACAGATGTGTAGGAGACTCTTGGTTTCCTTGTCATAGCTAGATGATGGCTATTCTGATGTAGCAGGAGCTGCCTGTTGGGACTCTATTTCTTAAGTATTTCTTTATGTATCCATGTCCCAGGAAAAAAATTAAAGAAGGAAAAAAAAAAAAAAAACAACCAAACCACAAAGCCCTCTCCAAAGTTATAAGAAAAGTCTGGTTGACAATTTCAGAGAATTCCTTTCCTTTTTCCAATGTCAAGATTTATCTAGTCTCTCCATTTAATGCCACAGTATCTCTGGCTTTCTCTGAGGACCACAACATCCCCTCCCACACAGTAACTGTTGTTTGCAGAGAGCAGCATGCGCCTGTCCGTGTCCACCAGCACGCCGCAGGTCATGGCAGGAGATGCCTTGATCTTCCTTTGCAAGGTGCAAGGAGCGACGAGCCCCGTGTCTGTGCAGTGGTGGCACCTGCCACCGCAGCACCCGGGTCCCCGGGTGCTGGTGGCCACCATGGATCGGGATGGCACCCTGAGCCTGGGCAGCGCCTACCAGGATGGCGGGACTCGGGGGAGTCTTCGGCTGGAGAAAGCGAGCTCTGGCACTTTCACCCTGGTGATCCCCAACACGTTGGACGAGGGTGACAGTGGGCGGTACGGGTGCAAAGTGACGGAGTGGTCCCGAGGCCAGAGCTGGACAGAGGAGGGGGAGACAGCAGTGACAGTCAGCTCCATGGGTGAGTTGGGCCACCCCTATTTCTGGGCTTTCGAGGCTGGACACGCTGGAGGCAAGGCTGGAGAAGCGGGTGGACACGTCTGCTGTGCCCTGAGCTGTGCTGCTGCTGCAGGGTGACCGGGGGCTGATCACTTGGCCCTGGAGTGCCTCAGTTTCCCTGTTTCTAGCAGGGTGCTTGAGTCCTCCACAAGATGTTTTGAGAGACAAGTGGGACACAACAGCTAAAGTGCCTGGAGACCTGAAAGGCAGTGCTTGTTCAGCAGGTCTTTCTGACTGTCTCCTTAACTTGAAATACAAAATATCTGTTCTAGCAGCATAATTACTTGCAGTAATTAAGCTCAACAAAGGCACTTGCCGAGTCATATGGTGGCCTTTGTCAGAGATACACCCCTGGTGCTGGCATCTGATCGCTTCTCCTGCCCTCCTGTCAGAGCACAGAGCCGCTAACCTCTCCAGCATGCAATGCCCACATCATTTCTTCTTTTGACTGCTGGAATGGGTGCCTTGATGGAGAGGCAGCTTTTGGCTGTGATTTAGGGTGTTTTCCTTTCTTATTGCTGGTCCAGGTGCCTGAGAGCACCGTTTGGGCCACGGGAGTTGTTAGCCTTTTGCGGAGTGTGGAAAGAAGCAGCAAACAGGGCAGCAGCATCAGCAGAGGATCCCCAGGTCCCTGCCATTGGGGTGGGATGGGGGAGCCTGGAAGAGAGGGTACTCAGGGCTGCCCGGGGGGCTGGGGGTGGGAGAGCAGGGGATGAGGTAGGAGAGGCCAGGGCCTGCATAGGTTTGGAAGAGCACAGTGAAACTCAGGGGAGAGTGGCAGCGGCAGAGGAGCAGCAGGACTGCTGGCTGCCATGGGGCTGCGGTGGCTGGGGCAGCGGGGACGGCACTGCATGGGAAGGGTGACGACGAGGTGGCACGGGGCAGGACTTCTGTCCTGGCACCAAGGACTCTCTCCTCCTGAGCAGGTCTTGGTCTGCATGCCACGCTGAGAAGCCGAATTGCCACCGTCGGATACGGGCAGAGTTTTGAACTCGTCTGCCAAGTGAGTGCCAGCTACACCCTTGAGGAGGTGCCGGTGTCTGTGGGGTGGCTCTTCCAGCCCAGCCCACCCACAGGCCACTACCAGGAGCTGGTCCGGGTCCTTCCCAGCGGCACAGTGGCCTGGGGGGCAGCGCAGGCACGCTTCCAGGGGAAAGCCCAGCTGACGAAGGCTGCCACCTCCTCCAGGCTGCACATCCACAATGCTGCAGCTGCTGACGAGGGGGTGTACCAGTGTGAGGTGGAGGTCTGGAGGAGAAACACCCTGACGCTGAAGCAGCCAGCGGCCACCACCAAGTCCAATGCCGTGGGGATAAAGGTGGTGCTGCCAGGTAAGCAGCGCCATGGGCGCTTCTTTGGCAGAGATCTCTCCTTCTGCAAATTTAAATCCATCAAACATGCCAGGGGCAACCAGGACCACTGATGGCTGGGGTGTCCGCAGCCGGGTCACCTCCCGGGGCTGCACAAGACAGTGCTGCCTGTCCTGTTTCTTCCTCAGCACCCACAGCTCCTGATAACACTCTTGGAGGCAAGTTTGGTGTTGGGGAGTGGCAATGTCTATTTGTTTGCAGATTATGCCAAGTATATAGGGATCAGTCCTGCCGCTAGGATTTTAAGCCTTGTTTCTGGGAAGAAGTAGTCCCCCCCATGGAGCCCAGTTGAATGCTGGGGGCATGAAGTGCCTCCCATGGTGCGGGTTTCTGGGGGGCTGGAGGGTAGCGGAGAGAGACAGGCCACCGAAGCTGGTGCTGGGAGATGTCTGTGCCCCCCTGAGCTTCTCTCGGTGCATTTGAGGTGCGCTGAGAACGCACCAGGGCTCTCTGCTGGGCTGGGAGCCAGCATGGACTGCAAGGTGCAGCCAGCTCTGGGTAGAGGTATCTCCTCCTGGGCATGGCTGGGCTGTGTAGCTGGGGGCCCTGCCCAGGGTTCCCTTTTACGGCCACCTCTGCAGGCAGGGTGCGCGCCACTGCCACGCCTGCCAGCATTGCGCAGGGAGCCTCGTGCTCTTACAGAAGAGAGAATTTGCAGATGCACGGCAGCCCCGTGGCCATCCCGCTGTGTGCCTGCTCCCCACCGCCCCTGGCAGCAGCACGGTGTCGGCTTGCCCTGCTCGTGTCTGGGGCTGCTGGAGGAATTGAAGGGATTGTCCGGGCCAAAATCTCTGAGCCTGTGGAGGCAGGCATGAGAATATGTTTGGGTTTTTTCCTAGTGTCTGTTCTGCCAGCAAAGGAGAGTTCTTGCTCTTTTTTCATGCATTAAGTGCTCAGTCCTCTTATACTTGGAGTTTTGGGATCACAACCCAGTGAACTGAAATTATGTGTTTTCTGTGTTTTTTAACTGATGGGTTTGCTGTAGCGTAAGCTGATACGTTCCCTTCCCTGTTCGGGCTCGTTTCCATGGTGCTCTCCCTCCTGCTCCGCTGCTGCTCTTTCCTCGCCCCTGCAGAGCTGGGTGCTGGGGTGCTCCGTGTTACACCTGAGCTGCAGCCAGCCTCGGGTGTGGGGTGGTCCTACGGGAGGCTAGGATTGACAACAGACAGCGGCTGTGCGTGTACATTACTAGTGTAAATGGCATTAAGATTGATAGGTGTAATTGTAGATCGTCTACACAGAGGAGGCGGTAGCAGCGGAGCAGCAAGATATTACGATGTTTGGCTCCAAATGTATTGCAACCATTACTGGATACTGCAATGTTGTAAAGATGGTGGGAACTGGGAGGGGGTGATGTACAGTGGGAGGTGGCTGATGGCTCTAGTACTGGAGCCAGCAAAGGATATTTGGGAAGGTAGAGAGTAACTCTGGGGAGGAAGCCGGCTCTAGCAGCAATGGGATAAGGTGAAACTGCAGAAAAACAAAGCTGCGAATTATGCAAATCACCAGCCTGTTTCTTCGCATATAAAAATCTCATAGTTGGAGCCTGCAGAGATACACCAGTTCTTGACTTTTGCTTCGGCAATTTATTTACCACTCAGTGTCAGTCGGTGCTTTAGTTTAAATGCCACTGTGGATCTGGCCTGTAGCTTCAGACAGGAGGGACATGCGTGAAAAGTCGTAACAGGAGGGGAAGGAGGACATAGAATCATTTAGGATGGAAAAGACCTTTAAGATCATCCAGTCCAACCATTAACCTAACACTACCAAGTCCACCACTAAACCAATTAAGG